TTTTGAGATGAAGTCTTGCTCTTGTCGCCCAGGCTGGAGTGCAATGGCACGATCTCAGCTGACTGCAACCTCCGCCTCCCGGGTTCAAGCAATTCTGCTGCCTCAGCCTCCAAAGTAGCTGGGATTACAGGCACCCGCCACCACGCCTGGCTAATTTTTGTGTTTTTAGTAGAGACCGAGTTTCACCATGTTGTTCCAGCTGGTCTTGAACTCCTGACGTCATGATCCGCCTGCCTCGGCCTCCCAAAGCGCTGAGATTACAGGTGTTAGCCACTGCTCCTAACCCTCTTGATACTTTTTTATGGTATTATTTGCAGCCTAAGAGTTTTAAGTTTCAATACATAAAGCCCACTTTATGTATTTTTTTTCTCATTACTTTTGCTTTTGGTGTTATGTCTTTTTCCTTGTATTTTAAAATGGTATTTATTTCTGTAAGCCTCTTCGGACCCTTTTTGAGATCTAAGCCAGACATAAAAATAAACCTTGCCATAAAATGGTGGCATTGACTCTGTCTCAGCGTCATCGTGGCAGTGAATTCAGTAGTAAATTTCCTGCGTTGAGGCTGCAGTGGAGGTGGAGAGCTGACACTGCAGGGGAGCAGCGTGCAGGTGAGTGGCTCTGTGAGGGCAGCTCCCATGGTGCCTGGAGGAATCCCGAATCTGTACACATGTAATCTCCGCTCCACGTGTGCACTGGGCTGGGCAGCAGGAACCTGGAGCAAGGTCAGCCCTTGAAGCTGCAGAGAACAGAAGCACAGCAATGTTGGTGACATTCAGGGGTCTAACCAGGCCGCCTTGCTGAGGGCCTGCGGGGTAGCAGATACCCTGGGCCAGTCAAACAAAGACGGAATGGGAGTTCATTTATTTTATGAGCTAAACAGACAAGTGTTAGCTAGCCAGGGAAGTTTGCCAATATACCATCATTTCTGTGAGAAAATGAGCCCTAAATTCTAAACCATCCCTAAGTTGGGGATTATCTGTCTTAATGTATGAGTGTTCTTAGTAGCTGTTCCCTTATTTGGGAGTCAGTGTGTATGTGTGTGTACACTTTTATGTTGTGTGTATAACAGATAGGCATGTGTGTGTATATATAACGTGTTTCTCCATTGAGCCCCGGTTCCTGCAGCCACTTACTGAGCCTGCCTGTGGCCATCTCTGTCCCAGGTTGCTGCAGGAAGGCAGCCTTTCCTTAGGATGCCACCTCCAGAAAGACTCAACTCCATCCACATCAGGGGCTGCTGAGCTCACGGCGTGGCCGATGATCCAGTTGTGAATTATTCACATCCTTTGTTTCCTTCCCTTTCAGCCTCACATGTGGCCCTTTCACAGCTCATTAGTTTTGTTTTAACGACAGGGAAGGAGAGAGGAATGGGGAGAAACTGAATTCAGTTTGGTTGAATCTTTGAGATAAAGGGGTGAATACCAGTTGGAATGGCATTTCTTAAATCATCTGGGGATTTCATGTGTTGATCTTGTTGCTTATTCTCATAGATAATTGATTTGGTAGTTGTAAGTTTTTAAACACAGTGAATGCATGCACATGTTGTGGTTTTTTTTTTATTAACAAAAAGGAATGAAACAAAATGTGGGGACCTTTTCTCCCTAACACCTTCTCAGCCCTAGACTCTGCAGAGAAAGAGGTTTACCTCTCTGATAAGTTTCTTGTGGAACTCTTCTTTTTTAAGTTTGTATATCCAAATATTTAGTTAAAAATACATAGATGGGATCGTATTATACACAGTGTTCTTTATCTTGTTTCTCCTTTTTTTTCTTAAGGTATGTTGCATGAAGGTGTTTCCTCATCAGCAGCTCAAACTCACAGCATTCCCCTTGGAGTTACAAAGTGTTTCTTTATAGGAATGGCCATGACTCATTTTAGTCTGCCCTCTCTTGATGGACAGCTAAGTAGTTTGAAGTTGTTTTTGCCATTATGCACAATGCTCAGCGAAACTTTTGGGTAAATATCTGTTTTCTGTGCTTTCGCAAGTTTGTATAGATGGACTATGATGTTTGCCATTAAACCATGTATGTAAAACACAGTTTACAGTGATCCTCAGCTGGGCTGTGGAATCCTGAGATCTTTGGACCATAGGGTTGTTCTTTTTGTGTGGTTTGTGCAGCCTGGCAGGAAGAGCTTGTGTTTAGATTATGAGAGGATATTTGAGCATCAAGTTAGCAAAGAACGTAAATGTTGTTCATTTCAGGTGGCAGCTGGCGGAGGGTCCCCAGCTCAGGGGTGGGCACTGCGTGGTGTTGTATGCTGGTGCTCTTTTGTGGGCAGGACACTTGGGTCAGACACCGGGGCCAACAGGGTGGCTGAGACGGAGCCCTTGCTCTTCAGGAGGTTCTAAAGACCCCACCCTGCAGGAGGAGGCAGGGCCCTGCATGCAGGATCGTAGCTTGGCACAAAGTGTGGGGCAGGTGTGGGAAAGAGTTGGTTGTCATCAGGGAAAGAACACGGCCTTTGGAGATAGCCTCAGATGTGCCGTGGGTTGGTGTCTGCCTGCCCAGCCTCTGCACAGAGGGGCAGTGCCCTTGACTGCATCCCGGGACAGCAGACACAGTACTGAGGATGCCTGCTGGCCGAGGGCAGCGTATTCCTTCCCACGGCCTCATTAGGACCAAATTCATGGAAGGGAAGATTCCTTGTAAGCTGAAGTGCTGAGTATTAAATTTAATCAGAGCTCCAAGGGGAAAGCTAACAACCCACCTTCTGGAAGTCTTGAAAATTTTCATCCAAGTGACAGTGAGGCTGAGACTCTGATGGTGGAAACCAGATGGCAGCAAGTAGACCTAGGCCTCTCTAGAGGTGTGCGGATGGAAATGGCTGCGGTGGGGGGCTGGGAGGAGCGGCAGAGACAGGAAGAGCTGATCGCGTCGGGGGGCGGCCAGGCTGGCAGGACACTCTCTGGGGTCTTGACTTTACCCCCAGTGAGGCAGCAGGGTTTCCAGGGGAGCCTGTCCCAGTGCCTTCTGAGCTCACCGAGCTTTGCCCTGACCCATCAGCCCTACTCTTTTGCCTGTTTGTGTAATGAAGCCCGCAGAAGAAAGGGACTTGTGGCCTCAAGGGGAAGCGGAGAGAAACCCACAGTGAATGGGGAGCCCCTGGAGATTTTCCAGCAGAAGTTGGTGTGCTGTGTGCCCTCCTTTCTGATTGTCTTTGACAGAGCCCTGCATAGGTCCCTGAGCTTTGTCAAGTCTGCTGAGAAGTTTAGGGGCTGGTGTGGTGTCAGCAGCGCCCCAGTGCTAGAGGCCATGTGGCCTGGCTTGGATGTGGGAGTGGTCCTAGGGCAGGTGCTGCAGACTCCTCCACTCTCCGTCTGTGTCTTCCTGTTCTCCTTCTCCCCCATCAGCAATCTCACCCCCTGGCTCCTGATACCAGCAAGGCTGGCCTCCTTGGAGGCAAGTCAGGAGTGTCCTGGGGAGAGACAGGGCTTGATGACCACGTGGATGGAGTGGGAAGACGGGAGGCACTGGGACTAGCATGTGGCTGGGGTGAGCTCATGGGTGGTGGTACTTTCCCCGAAGTCCAGAGCACTGGGTGGGAGCAGCATGCAGCTCTAGAGATGACTGCTATGAGGTTCCTATGGGCACCTGGCAGAGATCCCAGGTGGCAGCTGGCAGAGGGTCCCCAGCTCAGGGGTGGGCACTGCATGGTGTTGTATGCTGGTGTTCTTTTGTGGGCAGGACACCTACATGAAGGCTATGGCTGAAGAAATGGGTGGGGAGGAGTGACTGTTGACAGCTCCCTGGGCGCAGCCAAAATTGGGTCAGAATTGGGCAAATTGCAGATCAAGCTTAAAAACAGAAACCCAGCTGGGGGCAAGTACTGAGTCCAGGGCTCTAAGTGACTAACGCAGAAATGATGTTGTTGAGTTTACCTCCAGTCAGAGTGAAACTTGGGGCAGCCCATCCTCTCTGGCAGCTGTCCTCCAGGGGAAATGAGAATTGACCCAAGCCACAGGTGACCATGACCGGACCTTGCACTGGCTGAGACCAGAGGGTTTAGGAAATTAGATGAGAAATGAAGCAAGAGATGGTTCTCTTTTGACAGCCAAGTCCTGCAATGGAATGTAGACATTTGAACGAAGCCTAAGGAATGTCTAAAAGTGTTTGTAGAAATTTTTCTCATCTGCTTGCACTTGCTTTTTTACTACCATTCTTTTCTCTCTCCAGCTTCTTAAAAAAAAGCTACATGAAATGATTTCCTTCACGGATTTAACAAGCAGCACACAGTGACAGCTGTTAGGAATGATAGCTGACAGGGCTGGGAGACAGCTATACAGTTTGCTGGTAACCTTGCACAGACGAGTTGTTTTGGGTGGAAAAGCTGTTGCTTATTTACAGCAGTGAGGCAGAGGTGTTGCCTGTGGACCTGAGTTGTGCTGTCCTCCTTCCCATGGGTGTTTTGCTCACCTGCCTCCCTACCCACTCACCACACACTGGGTGCGAGAAAAGGTAAGAAGGAAAGACTGGGAGGACCAGAGGACACGAGCGTGAGTCCCAGGCAGCATCACTGAAGCTCGCGCCATCACTGTGTTGACGACTGAGGAGCGAAGGCCAGGTGGGGATTCAGGATGGACCGAGTGCTGTTCCACCCAGCCTCCCTGCCTCATCTCCCTGATGGGGACTTTCTTTTGGTGGGTAGTGGGAGGGGTTCTTTGAGTTAGCAGAGTCCATCCCATCTACAGAAGCTGAGGCTCAGGGAGGGGAGTTTCCAGGCAGTGAGACCCCAGGTCTGGAAGGTTCTCTGAGGTGGTATCCCACATAGCCACTTCCTTTTTCACGATTAAAAACACGTCAGACAGCACAGTCAACCATGGTCATCTCTGAGGCTGACTCAGAGGAGGCAGGGTTTTTTTTTTTTTTGCCCTTGGTACAGGGAAATCTAAATGATAGAAGAAATATTTATAAGTGATGGCTCTGGAAGCTGCTTGTGGGTGGACAGTGGTTCCTTTCCTGAGTGGGGAAGGAAGGGGCATCCCTGCTGCTGCCCTCGGGCTGCCCTTTAAGAGCCCCGCAGTACCCCCTGCATGTACCCACAGACAGCGTGGAGTGACGGGCCTCCATCCTCACTGGTCTGGCCTGGAGGCAGCTGGCTGAAGCAGCTTTTAGGAGGCATGCATGTGAGTTTGTGGTAAACAGAAATGATTGAGTTGATTGGGTTCAGGAGAGAGCGAAAACTGGCACCAAAATCACCTTCCTGGCACGTATGTTCCGTCCTCCTGGTTTAACTTAGGCCCGCACTCCACCTGAGAGTCCCTGAGAACCTTCCGATACACAGATCCTGCTTTGGGGCAACATGTAGAACTGACTCTCTCCTCGAATTTGCTGTGATGACCTAGTCCCTTAACATTTATGATAAATCAGTTCATGACAAGAGATAGACTCCTGAGCACAAGAAATAGCTTTTTGACTCGAGGTTAGATACTACCAGATTTAATGAAGGTGCATATTGCCAGAATTGAGGGGGTGTGAAAATTGAGTCGTGCAAAGGAATGAGAGCAGTACCCGTGGCAGTGCTTCCCAGTACCTTCCTGGGAAGAAAGTGCTGACAGGGTGCGCTGAAAGTCATGAAAACATCCACGGAGGGGGAGGCTCCCTCACGTTGCTTGGAGCTGTATTTTTCCACACCAGGGTATCGTCTCCAAGCTGCTGGTTGTAACTAGTGCAGTTCCTAAACTTCTGTGTTTTTTTTTTTCTGATTCACTTTGGATCACAGGTTCCATAGTCCCACTCGCCATAGAGACACGAAAGTAAGTTGTAAAGAATGTTAACTGCATCTTTAGGTGGAGCTTTACTTGACTATGATTCTCTAGAATAAACCCACATGGCGCAGAATGTAACGACTTATTGGGGGGCTCCGAGAATAGTGGGCATGTGCCAGGCGGTTTGCATGTAACCCTCAAGGCAAGACAGAAGTACCTCTCTCCATTCTATAGACAAAGAACCAAAGCCTAGAGACCTTCAGGGACGTGACCAAGGTTGGGTCACTGCTGAGGCCCAGGAGCAGGCATGTCTCAGGTGCTGTGCATGGTTATTCTAGTAAGTCACATCATCTTTGGATGTGGATGACACCATCATTTATTCAGGCTTTAGTCAAATCAGCTTTTCAATCTCTTGTGCTCTTTACAGTTAGAATCTAGATTTCCAGAAATGTATTTGTCATCAGAGAATTCAACACACTTCCCTTCTGAAATAGAAGTCAAATAGGTGGGGTGGTGAACAACCTGATTGAGGAAATCCTTACCCATTTTTTGGCATTTTGCTCTTGGAGCTGCTCCACTTAACTAATCTTTCTGGATATTTCTGTCTGCAAAAGGTAAGAAATTGATACTTTCTCTTAAGTGTGGTGATTCACTTTTGGATCTGCTGGCCAAGATTTAGGCCCAGCTGGAGGAGAGCAGTCTTTCAGTACTTATCTGTTGTCTCATTTTGGGGGCGTATCAGTTGGAAACAACACGCCTGTCATTCTTCTCAGTCATGTATGATATAATCAAAGCCCGGTGCCTGAATCATAGATCAGGAGGTGGCAGAGCTGAGCTGTTGACTTTTTTCATAATGTTACTCTTGTACTCTTCAATTATATCAAAAAGGATGACTTTTGCCGGTGTGGTAGCTCACGCCTGTAATCCTAGCATTTTGGGAGGCCGAGACGGGCGGATCCTCTGAGGTCAGGAGTTCGAGGCCAGCCTGGCCAACAGGGTAAAACCCCGCCTCTACTAAAAGTACAAAAAAATTAGCTGGGTGTGTTGGCACATGCCTGTAATCCCAGCTACTCAGGAGGCTGAGGTAGGAGAATTGCTTGAACCCAGGAGGCAGAGGTTGCAGTGAGCCGAGATCGCGTTGCACTCCAGCATGGGCGACAGAACTAGACTCCTTCTCAAAATAAAAGGATGACTTTTTGGGATTAGACCTTTAAGGAGAGCATTCAAAGGTTTGGTCCCTGTTCATTGCTTTTGTTGGAATTGAGCCCATAACAAAGGTTAATTATATTCATTTATTGCCAGCAGATAACAGTAGCACTGATATTTCCATCTGTTATCCCTGCTTTCAGGCCATTCTAATTAAATCTCTCAGACATCAGTTTTTTGAATGAATGATGTTTTGTGGCATTTGGAAAATTTGTCACACGAACCCTTTTGGCTGCAGGCCTTATTCATTTTATGTAGTTCTTTGCCTAGAATGGCACCTCTGAGTATTTTTGGCAGCTAAAAAGTCATTTCTGAGAGTGAAAGGATGCATCATGGTTTGCACCATGGTGGGCTTTGGGCTCTTGACTTTGCTCCCTTCCTTTCTCTTGCGGTTTCATGGTGGGCTGGACGTGCTGATTGCAGAGACAGTCTTCTTAGCAAAGCCGCTGGCACACTTGTGTTTGATTTCTGCTCCTGGAGATATAGTAATTGACAGTGTTGAGAGTTGAGGAATGCTGAAAGGTAGAATTCCTAATAACTATAAAAGATTATTTTGGGGCACAGAGATAGGGTCTTTCATGTGGATTCAGTCATTTTAGTTTTTTTCTATACAGCAAAATAATGCCTACAATAACTCCTTCCAGTTCCATGTGAATGATGTGACAGACATTCCAAAGGGTGGGTCATGGATTATGATGACACAGGAAACTGCAGCTGGTATACATTGTGACAGAAAGCATACAGACTTTGGAAACCAGCAGACCTGAAGTCAGATGCTGACTTTCTGCTTGCTCCTGTGTCACCTTTGTAAGTTAATTCATCTGTCTGAGACCGTAGTTTGCTTATTTGTAAACCACCTAACTCCCAGGGTTGTGATGATATGAAGTGAGATTTCACATGGAAAGCACCTAGTGGACACAGGCGCTCCCTGTATGGCATCTGCTGTTTTTGCTTTCTGATTGAGCTGGAATGAGGAGTCCTGACATCATTAGTCATTAAGGAAACGCCAATTAAAATCACAGTGAGATACCAGTACAGTACCAGATGGCTAATATCAAAAAATAGAGAATAAGTGTTAGGATTTGGAGAGACTGGAGCCCTCTTACATTGTCGGTGGGAATGTAAAGTAGCGCAGCTGCCTTGGAAAACAGTTTGACAGTCTCTCAACAAGCTAAATGAGTTACCATGTGACCTGGCAGTTCCACTCCAGGTTTTGGAGTGGAATATACCTATTCCACTTTTCTTGGTATATACCTAAGAAATTAAGACATCTGTCCATGCAAGGACCTGTGTGCAAATGCATATGGCAGCATTTTCATAATAGCCAAAATGCCATATCAACCCAGATGTCCCTGAGCTGGTGAATGGATAAACTAAGTGTGGTGTCTTTGTGGAATGGAATATTGTTCAACACTAGAAAGGAAGGAATTGCTGATATATTCAGCAACATATAATCCAGACAGAAGATACTATAAGTTGTATGATTTTCTTTAATTGAACCATATAGCAAAGGCAAGACTCTGGGTAAAGATAAAAAATCTTTATCCAGAGTCTTATACAGCACAGCTGTATATATTTCCTAAAACTCATCAAACTATACCTGAAGATGGGTGATTTTATAGTGTATAAACTAAACCTCAGTAAATTGAGCTGGGACTTGGATCACCTGATCCAAGTGTCGTAAACGGTGATTTGTATTGATAATTATGTTTTAAAAGCATGGTTTTCAGAACGCTTGTGTTGAGTGGGCATGAGTAGGAGCTCCTGCTTGCATGGGTGTGTGCAGTGAACCCAGTCCTTTGCATTCATTGAGGACTATTGTCCCTTGCCTCTTGCCACAGCAGCCTCTGACATCAGAACCGAAGCTTCAGTAGAGAGATATTTTAAAAAGAAATCACACCATCCAAATATAACACTGTGAATTTAGGCTTATGCTGTTACATTCTTTTTCCTATGAATATGTTTATTTTTACATTGTTAAAATTAAATATATATAATGTGTTTTAAATTAACTATGTGGAATAAACGTTTTTTATGATGTTAAACTTTCTATGAATACAGCTTTAATTGCTGACTCTGTATTTGTTTGAATACACCTTTTCTATCCTTGTATATTATTTTTCACAAACTTTATCTGTTAGTTTTTAATTCCTAGCTGGAGAATGTTGTTGTTAACAGTTATATTTTCTTATTTTAAATGTCTTTTATTTATTTATTTATTTTTTGAGACGGAGTCT